CAGATTTGTCTAATCATCCATGGATGATGAAACTTAAAAAATAAAAATTGAACAACTTCTCCAGAGGATTTACAGAGTATAAGATACAACCTTCATTTTGATGAAAAGACTTTAATAACCTTGGTCATTCTTAATTTGCATTTTTTTTCATCTATAAGTCTCAACCTAGGTCACATAGAGTAAGAGTGAGAGCAAATGCGAAAACGGGAGCGGAGCGTGAAAGCAACAAAATCTAAGTCACACAAATTGCGAAAGCGGGAGGGGAAGACCAAAAACGAATACGAGAATGTCAGAGTAACACCCGTTTTGAAATATCGTGTAACTTAGGTCTAAACCTGAAGTCTACCCAAATTACAAAAAAAAACCCAATACATAATAATCTGGGAGTCCAAACCGGAATGGTGTGGGGCCCACAATCCTTCTCACGTTTGATTTTGTCGTACTCCAAATTATTTTCCCAAATAAAATTGAACCTATCACTTCGCTAGTTACCTACCCTTCAAATTATTTTCCAAAAGAAAATCCTAATTAAATTGTACTGTTGTTAATTGATACAAAAAAAAAAAAAAAAAAAAAAAAAAAAAAAAAAAAAAAAAAAAAAACCTACACTTAACTAATTACATGCCTCCACTTGTCACTCCAACAGCCAATAGCTTGTGAGCTCCATGCGTCCATGGCTTGTAATATAAACTTTATATGATTGAAATCTGCAATTTAAATACAGAGATGACAATGTTCCTTCAAAAAATGTACAATCAAAACAGCAATGATATCTTTAATTGCTTCTTGTTAGTAGTACACAATAAGATTTATTAGAGAACAGTTTTAAAAAGTACCTTTTACCTAACGATGTTAAACAATGACCAACCAATTAAATTAATTTTCCAACTATCTAATTGTGATCTCTAGATACTATATATATGAAGTTTAAACAACCAAAACTTGATATTTAATCCTCAGACTTTACCCCACCAAACATTAGATGGGTGTTTTTAAAATTAATTCAGTTTCCTCCTCTTTGTACAAAAAGTTGAAAATCATCAATGTTGAGATGTCTATTATGAGAAAATCATTAGATTAATGTCAAATATGTTGTCCATTTCAAAGATGCCATTCATGTCACACACAGTGACTTAATTAAGATTGTTTTTATTTTAAAGAAAGAAACAAGCTACTAGTATTTTAGAGGGACAACTTAACAGATTTAAAAAGGTTATCAACCACCTTTGGTAGTACCACAAGTTTTTTATTTTTACATTATATGCATTGGACTGACTTAGAACTATTGCTTCAAAACTGGCATTTAATATTACACAAGGGACATCCTATAAAGCTATCTTTTCTACTTTCCTAGTCACCATGGAAAGAAACTTGCCTCACTTTCTATCATGGGTGAGAAAGTCCAATTAATTGAATGTGTGCAATAAAGGGGATGAAGTATGGTATTTGTCACTCGGGTCTTGTCCCACGTCGAATACTGATGACAATGAGTAGTTAACTAATAGAATTGGATGACAAATGTCTGATATATTACAAGTTGTATGAAAGTCGTCCTAATTCCTTATACAGTCTCGCCAAGTGCCTTGTAAAAAAATGTTTGGATCCAGATTCTTACTTGATTATCCTGTCGTTAGAGTTATCTTATCGTTGAATGAGAAAGAATGTCATAGGATGGGTACCGATAAAATGATTTTGGATTTATAAAAGTAGGTAAATAGTACCTACTTAACAACTTAATCACCTCATTCATTCATAATCACAATATATATTGGTGTTGCTCAATCACCTCATTGATTCATAATCGCTAATTGAATATGTGGTGAAAAAAGGGGATGGAGCATGGTATTTGTCACACGGGTCTTGTCCCATATCGAATACCAACAAAAATGAGTAGTTAAGTAATAGGATTGGATGACAAATGTATATCATGTATGTTACAAGTGGTATCAAAGTCGTCCCAATTCCTTATACAGTCTTGCCAAATTCCTACTCAAAGATGTTCGGATCCAGGTTGTTACTTGGTTATATTGTCGTTAGGATGAATAAGTAAACAATGTGGTTTGATAGCAACGAGAGTGTAATAAGTTTGAATGAGAAAAAAAGTCATAGGGTGGGTACGGATAGAATGGTTTTGTATCAGATGACAAATCTCCGACCCGTTACTGTAAAGATATATATATATATTTTGGTGTTGCTCAATCGCCTCATTGATTCATAATCACTAATCATAACATTGAACATTTGAACATATATGTCAGATAGAGAGATCCTAGTGCTAAATTGTCAGAAAAATAATTGGTAAACCTAAGACTAAATAATTAGAGACTAGCCACCATGCCCAAATTTAAAATATATTTGGTGGGTTGTTTTTTTTTTTTTTTTTTTGGGGGGGGGGGACGGAACAGCCATGTCCTTCAATTGGGTCGCTTTCCCCTAGATGATTACATTAACTAAAGGACCAACATTCTCATGGTATGGCAGCACACTTTTCAAGATATTTTCTCTCCTATTTCCTCTTGTAACTACTATTTCTTTAATCTTTCACCTTTCCTTTGTTTAACCTATATATATAATAATTATATGAAAATAGTAGTTATAATTATATAAAATCATTACAACAAAAGGTTAAAAAAAAAAAGTATAAAAAAATGTTGGAAAGAAAACTATGCGTGGGTGACTGTGGAGCAATGACAACTCTGTGTGATGGCCCAAGAGGACAAGGACATGAAATAATTGAAAGGCCTTTGCACTAGTGAAACAAAATGGGGGAGTGTTTTCATGATGCATATGTATGAGAGGGGGGTTATATATATATATCTATAAGGTGGTCCTTCCTCTAAGGGGGGGTCCACGTGGCACGGCCGGCAAGGTGTGGCCTATGGGCATGTGGGTATTGTGGTCCTAAAGGTTTCGAATAGGGACACGTGTCTCGAAAGGAGAGGTGGACAGGCTGTTGTGCATGAGCATGGGAGAGAGGGATGTGGTGTTGTTAATCAGGAGATGAGATGGATAGGAGGAGGAGAGAGCAGTGAAAGTGGGTAGTAGTCTTTAATGGAGGTATAAAAGACCAAAAGGCTACAAAAACCCCTTTTTTTTGGTTGGTTGTTTTTCAACTTTGAATAGTTTATGAGGTTGAAGAACTTGCACAAATTCACAATCCCTTTTAATCATTTGGTGGGAAAAAAAAAAAGAAAAAAGAAAAAAAAAGCCCATTCCAACGGAATATGTACAAATGCAATATCTATATTTATCTATATATAGATATAGGTCAACGGAATAAGTGACTACCCTAAATATCAATGTTCTCATCTTACGTAGTCTTGAAGTTCTAAAGTTTGAGTCTTGTCTTAGTGACTTAACCGGCTCACGGAGGGGAGACACCCTTCCTGGGTTCTAAGGGATTAGTCGGGGCAAAGCCTTGGATATCTCATGTTATCCAAAAAAAAAAAAAAAAATTTACTGAAAAAAAAAAAAATGTAATGTTAGGTTTCTAGTAGTTTAATTCAGATACCTCTCTAGTCTGTACACCTTCTATAACATTACGTCAATAGTGAACAAGCCCAAATTAGTTGAAACGTGAAAACTATTTCACATCTTATGTTAGCCCAACAAATTTCCAGTCCAAGTTCACTGAGCCCAGTGAGGTCATGTAGATCAGTAGGCTCATACAGCCCAAAATTTTGGGCTGGACTGATTCAGTAATCAACAAAATGAGCCAGCTTATTCTTTTAGAACCCAAAATTGGACAGGTTTGGGCTGGACTGATTCGATAATCAACAAAATGAGCCAGCTTATTGTTTTAGAACCTTGAAAGCTGAAACTCAGAGTAAGGTATTAGCCCAAGATTTACGGTTTTAACTTCATAAGGCTGAACAAACCCAATGAGATTCAATGGGCCTCGAAGACTTTGCTCAATTGGGCCTATTCGCCTATTAGGGTCTAATGGTTGTGGATCCGGTTTGTCAATAAAAAATTCTGCTTGATTTATGATGTAGGTCAGTTTTAATTAATATAAGTTATTATTATTATTATTATTATTATTATATTTTTTATATTCCATATTTTTAGAGAACTTCTACTTTTAGGTAATTGTCTTACATTTTTAGTTTTTATATTATTAGTTTATCTTTCTTCTTCTTCTTTTTTATTTTTTATTTTTAAGCAATTAGTTTTCTTGGATTTTTTTTCTTTATTATAAATTTATAGCAAGAATAAAATTCAAACCTTTTTTTATCAATAATATTGTCAATTCAATTCTTTTAAAATTCATTTATAAAAAATGCATATTTTTCAAAGAAAAAAAAAATTATCTTTTATAGTTCTCTGAAACAGTTTTTTATTTTCTTGATAATTGTTTTTGACTCAATCACTAGTACTGCTGGGTTTTTGTTGGGACTCCAATAGATAATACCTCCTCAAGTATTATCCATTGGTTTAGTTATATATTTAAAATATTTTTCAAGAATTTGAGAAATCGAAAACACTTTTAAAAGATTATTATAAAAATATGTTCTTTAAATATGGTTTTTTTTAACATTATTGTCAACAACACTTCCTATCATCTGCAAAAGCACCTTTACAACAAAGATGGACAAATCACAAATTCAATCATTAACCCGAATAAAAAAAATAAAAAATAAATGTTCGTACAATCTATTCACGATGAATATCACGAGTCCAATACTCCAAATATATATATATATGTCAAATTTTTTTTCTGCCAATCCCAACAAAAAAGTTTGTAGTTTTTAAGTTTTATTAAAAAAAATCACCCTAAATTTGCTTAGATTTGACAACTTGTCCATACTGATTTTCTAAATTAAGCATGTTACGAAATTGTTCGATATATAAATTAAAATAATAATAATAATAATATTTTTAATCCTAAATCAAAATAAGTTGTCTCATGCTTTATACGGAATAGTAATTAATTAAGCAACAAAAAGTACATTAAACAAAAAAATAAATAAAAATAAGTAGAGTTTGGACAAAATCAAGAACTATGGATCATGAACATCTACTTTGACCACACACACCAACAAATACCTCAAACACGTATCAACAAAGCAGCAACCACCATTAGAGCCACCACTAGCAGACCTGTTGTTGTTGGAGCGCTTGGGCTTCATCATCCGAACCAAGTATTTCTTCGTTTTCTGGGAAAAACTCTCTTTCCGGGAAAAATTGTAGCTTCGAAGGAATTTTTGTCTGCTCGAGAAGCTCTCATGGCAGTAGGAGGACATTGCAGGCGCTCCTAGTACTCTTGAAACCCTAGTTTTATGATCATCATCATCATCATCCATCAGTAAATATGTTGATGATGATGAAGTCTGATCTTCATCTCTCTCTTTATTCAAACTTAACCTCCTCAGGAACTCTTTGTCCGATTCCGGCCATTGGTACAACTTTACAAAGCTTACTGTTGTTTGGACATCCACACATCCTTCATTAATACAGCTTGATTTCATGCTTCCGTCTTCTTCATCGTCCTTCTCTTTCCTTCCCTTATATATATATATATATATTAGAAGTTTGCTAGAGCCTAGAATCCTAATCAAGGTTGGATTTGATTATGTTAGAGGCACTGTCTTGTGTATGACAAATATTGAAAGTGAATTTACAGGATTACCCTTCATCCGAATTACCTAAGAAATCAAGTGAAACACAAATTGCTAAAAAGAGAACCCCACAATATGGCAACCCCTCTGTACGGAGTACCTCAATTTTTTAATATACCAGTAAAAAATTAAAGAAAAAATAAATAAATTTTAATAAATTGTAAAGAAAGTATGTGTAATGTAATGTAATGTAATATGTGGCATATAAGACTTCTAACTTTCTAAAATTCAGTTACCCCCTCAAAATTAAAATTGAAAGCAGTAATCATGTGTTGGCGTGTTGCCCTAAAAACTTTATATTTTTTACTCTCATTCCGTGGCTTTAAATTTCAAGCAAACAAGAGGATTGATTATATGTGAGACCTTTTTTTTTGGCTCTCTTTTTTCGGGAATTAAGGCTCCGCTTGTTTCACCGTAAAATATTTTTTCTAAAAAATATATTTTTTTTCAAGTTAAATATTTCTTTTATTTTTATATCTCAAAAAATATTTATTTTATTTTAAGTCAAATTTTTATTTTATTTTTATATCTCAGTGTTTGGGGTTAAGTCTATTGGGTGGGGGTGTAAAATAACTTACCGAAAATGATGAATAAGATATTCTTGTTAAGTTTTAATATATATTTTTTTAGTAAATATTTTACGATAACCAAATACCCAAACACCATAAAACAAAATAGTAGTGGCCTAACGGTACTAAGCCCCTACTTTCTAAAGGGAGGTTAGGAGTTCAAGTTTCAGTAGAGGCATATATGTGTGAGTACAATTAGGAGGGGAAAAAAAAAAAAAAATCATAAAACACAAAAAATATTTTACGTTTAAACAAACATAGCCTAAATGTCATCCGTTAAGAAAAAAAAACAAAAAAATAAAATAAAATAAAAGTTAAAGCAAAAACACACGTCCTCAACCTTCCCATTTGTGAAAGAGTGATTATAACTAAAAAAAACCCCTTTTGGAAATTCACAAAAAAGTGAAAAGGGAATAATTTAGTCATGGGGGCATTAATGTCTTTCCAACTGCACGACGACCGGAAAAGAAAAACAAAACTGATAAATTAAGACAAGGTGATATAAGAGAATAAACAAAACCAAAGAGAGTTTGAACTTTTGCTTATGAATATTATTTTACTTGTTGAAATTTAACCAAGCCTAAGAAAGCAATGGGACTGTAATCAATTAAAAATACGAGTGACAGACATTCTGACGACTTATAGTTAATTAAATCCAAGTATTTTGTTGGCTACATTCAGAGAATCTGTCTCGTGTCCCTCTATTTTGTTGGCTACCATTCAGAGATTATTTTGTCCTACTCTGATAAGTCTCCCTCTACCTTTGTGCAACACATACACACACTCACACCACACATATATATATTATTTTTTTAGCACTGTCCTTACATTTCTTAGCCCTGTCTCTCTACATTGAGTTCAGTTTTGTTTTATAGCTGATGGTCCCATCATTCACACAATTACCACACTAATCAAATGGTGAGTAACATTATGTGTTGCCAAGTACTCCGTAATATAGCCAGTTCAAGTTCAATTTGCAGAATTATTAAATGGAGTATTAAACTATTAAACAACCAATTTTATTTTACAATCTGACAATACTAACATACGGAATACTAATAAAGGAATGTAGTTTTAGTGTATTTTTTCACCTTTAAAAATAAAAGGTGATGTGTGACGATCATTGTCCAATATTATTTCATCCAAATAAGATCCATGAGCAACTTATGTCATCATACGTTGTTCATATATATGTATATGTATTCACTAAAAAAAAAAATTTATCCGAGATTTTCTGGCTTCAACTTTTTTCCTATTTTTTTTACAAGCTTCATGCTCGTATTGGTCCTAAATTAACACAAAATTTTCTGCCAATATATCCATAGGAACCTGCAACTGTGTTAGAGATTTTCTCATATTAATTTAGGCCATTCTCTCTCTCACACTCTCAGACACACACACACACACACTGATTTTCTTGATAAAAAGAAACCCTAGTCCATGGATAGTTGGATTCATCTGAAGCCCAGACGGTGTGCTTGGGCCAAACCTACACGTGTAAACCAGGCTTGCTTGATGTCTCAATTCTTTGAAGCCCGGCCCAAATCTATGTGTCTTTTCCTACTTCAATCATACGTAGGTAGTACTCTCTATCTAACCAAAATTTCAACCGATTTCTTCGATGATCTGACAACTACATAGTCGCTTATTATTTGCTTTGCGAGTTGTAGTCCCATAATGCACACCAGGTATTTGATGTTTTGTTTACTCAGACTACAACCTTATAATGTTCTATCCTTCTGCTTTATCATCTTTCTTTCTCTCTTTATTGAAAGACTAGGTAGGTGCTTCACAGTTTTGGGTTGTATATTCATAATGATACCATGGGCGCTTTCATATTTCTTTCTATTCCTATTTAATAGATTTTAGCAATTTTAGCATGGCAAAGATTCATATTTGTTGGAAAGGAAGTTGAAAGTTTTCACAAAGCAAAATAAAATAAAATAAAATAAAATAACTTGTAGTAATATATATATATATATATATATATATAGCAATCCTATTATGGATATTGACAACAAAAAAAAAAATCAAAAAAAAAATCAAAAAAAAAAATCTAAGTGTAATCCATAGCTGATTCTGTTTCACTTAAACGCCCATGTATTCTCTTTGCGGAGCTCTTCTTCTTCTTCCGAAGTATAGTCATTCTTAATGTTAAAAGTCTTACGAACTTCCACTAAAGTCATGTCTTTAATCATATCCGCCACAGTTTGGGAAGTCAGATCTAACAAGCTCTTGATGTCTAAATAGTCTGCACCCAAGATGAGGTCGAAGAGGGTGGCCTGGTCAACGGCTTTGATAAAGTTGGCGTCAAAGGTTTTGAAAGCATCGTCGGAAATCTTGTCTTCGGACTTGGGGGTCTCGATGTGCTTCTTGCAATACTCGATGATCATGGATAAGATTTTACTATTTACGTTTGGTAGAGGAATGACGGAATCGGCACAATCGTCTTCAATCATGTGTTTGATGGTCTGCGACTCCAACGCCACCACCTCTTCCACCTCGAAGGTCTCACCATCTGAAGTTCTCAACACAACCGTCTTTGAAGTCGACATGATTGTGCCTCTCAAAGCCAAAAACCAAATCCCTAAAAGAGAGTTTGTGAGATATAAGGAGCAAAAGCTAAGAACGAGAAAATTGGAGAGCAATAGGAATAATGAAACATCTATTTATAATAAGGTGCCCTAACACCATAAAGACAATAAGGAAACCTAATACCATTATTTAAATGTTTATATCAATTAATAAATATTTTTTATATTAATAATTCTTATCTAATTAAAATTTTTTTATTAAAAATTCATAATAAATAGATAAATAGGTAATTTGTGTTAAAGTTTTATAGAAACTCTTTTAAAAACTATTTTTATATCAATTAATAAATATTTTTTTTTTATATTAATAATTCTTGTCCAATTAGATTTTTTTTCTTAAAAAAACTCATAATAAATATATAAATAGGTAATTTGTGTTAGAGTCTTATAGAAACTCTTTAAACATATCCTTGTCTAATGTGATAGAGTTTTATTAAAAATAAAATAGGCAATTTGTGTTAGAGTTTTATAGAAATTATATTATTTTCTTTAAATATATCATTGTCTAATTAATTTTTTATTATTATTAAAAAACTCATAATAAAAGGTAATTTCAGGTACTTTTTATATCAATTAATAAATATTATTTATATAAATAATTATTGTCCAATTAGATTTTCTTTTATTAAAAAACTCATAATAAATAAATAAATAGATAATTTGTGTTAGAGTTTTATAGAAACTCTTTTAAAAAATTATTTTATTTTTTTTAAATATATCCTTGTCTAATTATATTTTCTTTTATTAAAAAACTCATAATAAATAAATAAATATATGATAAAGTTTTAAAGAAAATAAAATAGATAATTAGTGATATAATTTTATAGAAATTATTTTATTTTCTTTAAATATATTCATAATCAATAGGTTATATGTGATAAAGTTTTAGAAAAATTATTTTATTTTTTATATCAATTAATAAATATTTTTTATATTAATAATTCTTGTCTAATTAGATTTTCTTTTATTAAAAAACTCATAGTAAATTAATAAATAGTTAATTTATGTTAGAGTTTCTATTTTTATATCAATTAATAAATATTTTTTATATTAATAATTCTCATATAATTATATTTCCTTTCATTAAAAAATTCATAATAAATAGATAAATAGGTAATTTGTGTTAGAGTTTATTGAAACTTTTTAAATATATCATTGTCTAATTTGATAGAGTTTTATGGAAAATAAAACAGGTAATTTGTGGAAGAGTTTTATAAAAATTATTTTATTTTCTTTAAATATATCCTTGTCTAATTAGATTTTTTTTTATTAAAAAACACATAATAAAAGGTAATTTGTGGTAGAGTTTTAGAGAAATTATTTAATTTTTTTATATCAGGTCATAAATATTTTTTATATTTATAATTCGTGTCTAATTAGATTTTCTTTTATTAAAAAATTCGTAATAAATGGATAAATAGGGATTTTGTGTTAGAGTTTTATAAAAACTCTGTTAAAAAGTTATTTTACTTTCTTTAAATATATCATGTTTAATTAGATTTTATTTTATTAAAAAACTCATAATAAATAGATAAATACATGTTACATGTGATAGAGTTTTAAACAAAATAAAATAGGTAATTTGAGGTGGACTTTTATAGAAATTATTTTATTTTATTTAAATATATTAATAATAAATATGTAAATAAGATTATATGTGATAAAGTTTTATAGAAAATAAAATAGCTAATTTGTAGTAGAGTTTTATAGAAATTATTATTATTATTTTTAAATATGTTCTTGTTTAATTAGATTTTATTTTATTAAAAAACTCATAATAAATAGATAATGTTATAGAGTTTTATAGAAAATAATTTGTGGTAAATTTTATAGAAATTTTTGTATTTTCATTAAATATATTCTTGTCTAATTAAATTTTCTTTTATTAAAAAAACTCATAATAAATAGATAAATAGGTAAAATGTGTTAGAGTTTTATACTTATTTTCTTTAAATATATTCATAATAAATAGGTAAACACAGGTCATATGTGATAGTGTTTTATAGATTATAAAATAGTTAATTTGTGGTAAATTTTTATAGAAATTATTTTATTTTCTTTAAATATATTTATGTTAATTAGATTTTATTTTATTATAAAACTCATAATAAATTTTTTTTTCCTGAATAAACTCATAATAAATAAATAATGTGATAGAATCTTATAGAAAATAAAATAGCCAATTTGTGGTAAATTTTATGGAAATTATTTTATTTTCATTAAATATATTCTTTTCTAATTAGATTTCCTTTTATTAAAAAAATCCACAATAAATAGATAAATGGGTAATATACGTTAGAGTTTTATAACAACTCTTTTAAAAACTCTTTTTATCTCAATTAATAAATATTTTTTTTATATTAATAATTCTTGTCTAATTAGATTTCCTTTTATTAAAAACTCATAAATTGATAAATAGGTAATTTGTGTTAGAGTTTTATAGAAACTCTTTTAAAATCTATTTTTATATCAATTAATAAATATTTTTTTATATTTATAATTTTTGTTCAAATAGATTTCCTTTCATTAAAAAAACTAATAATAAATATATAAATAGGTAATTTGTGTTAGAGTTTTATAGAAATTCTTTAAATATATCGTGTCTAATGTGAATTATGTGATGCAGTTTTATTAAAATAAAATAGGTAATTTGTTGTAGAGTTTTATGGAAATTATTTTATTTTCTTTAAATATATCATTGTCTAATTAGATTTTCTTTTATTATAAAACTCATAATAATTTAGATAATATGATAGAGTTTTATAGAAAATAAAATTGCTAATTTGTGGTAATTTTATAGAAATTATTTTATTTTCATTATAGAAATTTTTATTCTTAGCTGCGGCCAATGTATTGATCAATTGTAGAAATGGTAACATGACCTTGACCTTTGGAAATATGAAAGTGGACATTAAGAAAAGGGAAAGAATCTACCAACTTATTTGATTTGAAAATTTGAATTCTCAAATTTAGTTTTTGTTAGTAAAAAAATAAAAAATAATTAGTAAAATGTGGGTGAGATACTTACCAAACCAAAAAAATTAATAGGTGTTCTTAACGTTTTAAAAAGTAATTAAATGTGACGTGTTGATAAATGTATACTAATGTACACTACCATTTCCGAGATTACAACACAGCACAGCATTGAAGATGCGAGTATATGTGTGAAATTGGTGTGTTCATTACTCCATTCCACATGGGGAACATATAAATATTAATTCATAATAAATAGATAAATAGATAATAAAAAATCAAGTTCAACCAAAAATCAAAAAACATTGAAATCCACATCCAGATATATTAGTTTGTGTTAGAGTTCTTTCTATAAAAACTCTTTTTATATCAATTAACAAATATTTTTTTTATATTAATAAATAAATACTGAATTATTAAAGCAATTAATAAATAGATTTTTATAATAATAAATAATTACTGAAATATTGAAATTTTGAAACTCTTTATACATTTAATAATAGTATAGATATAGATATATATATATATATACTAGGAAAAGGCACGTGCGATGCACGTGTTGAATGTTTTGTAGATAATGTGATAGAGTTTTATAGAAAATAACACAGCCAATTTGTGATAGATTTTATAAAAAATATTTTATTTTCTTTAAATATATTATTATTTAATTATATTTTCTTTTATTAAAAAAACTCATAATAAATAGATAAATAGGTAATATGTGTTAGAATTTTATAGAAACTCTTTTAAAAACTCTTTTTATATCAATGAATAAATATTTTTTTATATTAATAATTGTTGTCTAATTAAATTTTAATAAATAAATAAATAGTTAGTTTGTGTTAGAATTTTATAGAAACTCTTTTAAAATCTTCTTTTATATCAATTAATAAATAATTTTTATATTAAAAATACTTGTCTAATTAGATTTTCTTTTATTAAAAATCAAAAAATAAATAGATAAATAGGTAATTTGTATTAAAGTTTTTATAGAAAATTATAAAATATATCTTTGTCTAATGTATTATAATTTTATAAAAAATAAAATCGGTAATTTGTGGTTGAGTTTTTCTAGTCTAATTAGATTTTCTTTTATTAAAAAACTTATAATAAATAAACAAATAGGTAATTTGTGTTAAAGTTTAATAGAAACTCTTTTAAAAACTCTTTTTATATCAATTAATAAATATTTTTAAATTTTAATAATTCTTGTCAAATTAGATTAGCTTTTATTAAAAATAAAAAATAAAAAACTCAATATAAAAGGTAGTTTGTGATAGAGTTTGAGAAAAATTATTTTCTTTTTTATATCAATTAAAAAATATTTTTTATATTAATAATTCTTGCCTAATTATATTTTATTTTATAAAAAAACTTATAATAAATAAATAAATAGGCAATTTGTGTTAGAGTTTAATATAAACTCTTTTAAAAATTCTTTTTATATCAATTAATAAATATTTTTATTTTAATAATTCTTGGCCAGTTAGATTTACTTTTATTAAAAAATTCATAATAAATAGATAAATCGGTAATTTGTGTTAGAGTTTTTTATAGAAACTTTTTTGAACCTCTTTTTATATCAATTAATAAATAATTTTTTATATTAGTAATACTTGTCTAATTAGATTTTCTTTTATTAAAAAACTCACAATAAATAGATAAATAGGTAATTTATGTTAGAATTTTATAGAAACATTTGTGTTAGAGTTTTATAAAAACTCTTTATTATGTAGATTTTAGTGTTTATATTTTTTTATATAAATAAATAAATGCTGAAACTCTTTGCATATCTAATAACAGTATAGATAAAAATTCTTTTTAATAAATATTGAAACTCATTGACAGAGCTTCTGTATTTTACTCCGTAATTCTATTTCTAGAATTCTCAATTTCTATACCCCTTCCTCCATATCTCTATTTATAAGCTTCTTGGATTAATAGGATTATGACATGTGTCCTTTTCTGATAATGATATAATCATAACA